GTGGTCGCCGTCGATGCGACGACGTTCTGTTTCTAATTTAAGACGCGTCGATTTGTACGATTTATGGTAAACGTTACGAAAGAACGAACGAACGATTACGCGCGCGCGACCCGCACAACATTTCGATCGTGTTACTTAAATACTTTTACGGAAGCCTTTCTCGTATACTGTTTTATCATAAACCGTGTATTTACTATTATTATTGCTATTATTGTTGCAATTATCAACGCGCTTTTACTATCTACCATTAGTATACTCATTGTTAGTTCATTTAGTGTACGTTTATTTCGTAGTGGACGTTTCTGTTGATCAATTTGGACGTACGACTGTATTCGATATATGTAACACATTCCCAAGCTGTACACTGTTTATTAAAGAGGAATAAAGGAGAAAAAAGAAGAGTTCTAATGAGGAAGCGTTTTAAGTATTAGGTAGGAAGTTCTAATCTAGTAAACAGAAATTAAATTAACGAATGTTGTGTACATAGATATTGACTATTGTAATGATTAATATAAACTGCTTATAGATGTAATGTATTTTTTGTAGGGACCATAATGTATAAGCAGAACAATATGAGAATGTTTTTTTTTTTGTTTCCTTTGAAAACGGTACTTGAATGGTGATATGCGAGCATGAATCCGACGATTCTAAGATAAGGTTAATGCAAAAAGAAAAAAAAAATGATGAAAAAAAAGCAATACGCGTTTGCTTGCGAGACAATGAATACGAGGAGAAATGTTCAAGAGTTATGGGTTTGAGAGAGATAAATATTATATAGAAGCTCATGAGAAAATTAGTGTATCGAATGTTTTAAAGATTGCGAGTTGACAACACGTTGAACGGTTTCGAGACGTGTTCGATGGAAAGATATAGAGCGTTACATTTTGTTTGCGAAGCTCGCAGAGAAGATTCTGTTGAAGACTTTACGGTGTGTTTACGGCGAAAACGGAATCTTTTCTGAGAGTGGAACGGCAAATGGGAGGAAAAGCTTGGGCCTCGAAAATTGCTAAACGCTATAGCACGTTTAAAATTAATTGGCTGCTGAAGGCCATCGAGAAGTAATTTATGTAGTTTGTTTACTTTATTACACTATTTTTTGTCTCTACATTCTACGTTTGTTTTCCTTCTCCCCGTTGTTTATTTTCATTCTTTTTATATCACACCCGGAATCTGTGCCAGATCCAGAAATTATACCTGCAGTCTTTAATCGTAGTGAGCTTGCAATTATTCCGTGTTCCTTATTTTATTTCACCATTCCTCGTTTCACACTGTTAACAGATTAGATCGAGAAATACACTTACACACACACACTTGATAGAAAATGTATTTTCCTTTTTTACGAATATTGTTCACGAAGTTTTATTTCTTTCAAATTTGTTTAAAAGTACTAGCGAATTGATAAACAAGAGAAACATTACTTGTACCGTAGTGTGAGAGCACTGGCCTTAAACAACCAGTTAATTTCAGGCAGTCTGTATCCTAACAAACTACGAGAAATTGTAAGAAAAAAAAAAAGGGAGGAATTACATTTGCCGTTATGAAAGGTGGTATCGAAGTAGCAAAAGTGTTTGTTCGTTAAAGCGTCTGTGACTTTTAAAAGCATTTTAGTCCGATTTCCAGCAGTTTGTTAACCTGATACCTTGACACGCGACACACACATACAAACGCTCACGTACTCACTTACACTTTGTATATGTTACTTTCGTACGGTTATTATACACTATACAAATTCTTATACCAGAGCAAAACTTACTTGAATTTAGTCGCACAGCGAGTAAAATCATTCAAAAAACATTGGACTATTATGTTAACATGTTCAGGGCGGTAGTGAAATTCACGAAACGCTCGTTGTTGCCGGCGTTTGTTATAAATGGACAGTTCGTTTTTACCGAAGTGTTTATTACCGTTAATACTTAGTTTTTCACTCTTTAATCATTTCACCCTTTCAATATACGTGTTTTTTCACAGAATATTATCAAGTAATACGATGACCCATCGATGGGTCACATCGAAAAATAAGAACATCACGCGATGACCCACCGGTGGGTCACGTTAACAAATGAGATCATTCGATGACCCATGGTGGGTCACGTTGACAAGAGCATCATTGGATGACCCACTGTGGGTCACGTCGGCAAATAAGAGCATCACAGGATGACCACGCGTGGGTCACACTGTCCTGAACGTGTTAAAGAAGACAGCAAAAACCGCCATTTTGATACGTTGATCACGATGGAACGAATGATTTCGACGCTGCCGATTTCGTACTTATGAAACGGTATAAACACTTGAAATAATATTGCCTTAAAAACGAAAGATTAAAAAAAAACGTAATTCATAAGGAACGCTCTGACGATGGTACAAGTGGCAAAAGGAAATTAATGGTGATGATGAATGATCGTAATTTGCAGAGACATATATAAAAATAATATAGACGTAAGAAAATCTCGTATTGTCAAAGAAGATTTATCATTTCCTCAAATATTATATAAATATATAATTCGAGCTGAACCTTCTGTTTCATATCAGACACCGAAAACTCTTCCTTAGGTATGGAATGAACACAGATCGTGAATCGTGTTAGAATTTTGAACGATTTCGTTGTGCGTTTCACTAGGTGGCGAGAAGACGGCCGATAATAATTGACTGTTATTATTGGGGATCGTCT